AAGTTCATGAAAGTGGTGATAATCGAAATGCTGATGAAGGACAAGTAGAAATTGTTGCAGGCAAAGACTATGCAGTGTGTCTTCATAATTTTCCCCCTGTAAGTAAAGTGTGCTTCCATAATTTATAAACTCATTTTGTGCTCATATGTCTCATTTTAGAGAGGTGGGGAGTGAAGTCATATTTTTAACATGTGTCTTAACATCTCTAAGGGCGACACATGTATGCAACTCTTCTAGGTACAACTGTGTCACATGAAGTATTGTCATCTTGATAGCTGTAAATACACTATACTTGTTTTTTCTTTTTGTAATAAAAATCCAGGAACAGAGATTCATTTTTTGTAAGTGAGATTATGATAAACTGAAAAATATTTACATACCCTGCTTTTAGAAGTGGTTAAATTACTACTTCAACAAGCATAATATTGCAAGTTAATATATCTGAAGTGTGACTAGTGATATATTAATAGGTACACATCATCCACAAAATTTTAGAAGTATGTATATGGAAAAAGACACAGTTTATCTTAATGCGAATTTGTCTACGTATTAGAAATAAAATTAAATTCCATTTTTAAAAATCTGCGTGTGTACCTGACTCATTAAGAGATTAAGTATTCACTATAATTGAACTAAAAATTACTTGAAAATGAAAATTCTCTCTCTTACAGCCCCTTATCCACCTCAAAATATTTCTGTTCGTATCATAAACTTGAACAAAAACAACTGGGAAGAACAGAGTGGCAATTTCCCAGAGGAATCCTTCATGAGATCACAAGATGCAACAGGAAAAGAAAAACTCTTCCATTTTACAGAAGAAACCCCTGAAATTCCCTCTGGCAACAATTCTTCCGGTTGGCCTGATTTTAATAGCAGTGACTATGAAACTACATCTCAGCCCTATTGGTGGGACAGTGCATCTGCAACTCCTGAAAGTGAAGATGAATTTGTCAGTGTACTTCCCATGGAATACGAAAATAACAGTACGCTCAGTGAGACAGAGAAGTCAACAGCAAACTCTTTCTCCTTTTTCCCTGTGCAAATGATATTGACCTGGTTACCACCCAAACCACCCACTGCTTTTGATGGGTTCCATATCCATATTGAACGAGAAGGTAAAGCAGTAGAAAATCAGAGGAAATAGAACTGATACAAAGGAAGGGAAATGGAAATGTTTTAAAATATGCGTTTAGAAAGACTGATCATAGACAGTTAATATCCAAAGAATAATGGTAAAGGAAGGGAAGAATTTAATTGGGTATCCAATGCAGACTGAGAGCAGAAAACCCAAATGAATAGACTGGATAAGAATCAGAAGGTTTAAGTGATTCACAAGTTGTAAGTACTGCCAACTGCATACATTTTACTGCTCAACATTTCACATGCCTCAGAACAACGAGGAAAATATCATCTCTGGAAATATTTTGAATTAAAGATCTAACTATCCTAGAAAATTACAGCATATCCTAGAGAAATTTTCCATTTTCTCATATGCAAATTTCAGAAACATGGCGTCAAAGTAATACTTATGAAAACATTACTACTTCCTCAAGAATACGAGGCTTGTGTCCTGCTAACCAGCCTCTCTTGCTCCCTTTAGGGTGTGCCCCTCTGGAACCAGAACCACAGTTTACCAAAGAGAAGCTGATAGTAAAACGGAAAATGCCCAGCAACTGACATTTCCATGTAGCTACTATGGCATCTGAGATTCATTCTTTTTATTTTAGCCCAGTAACTTAGGAAAGTAGAGCCATGACTTTCAACAAGTCTGGGTCATGATTCCCATCTCAATAGTTGTTTGGTAGATTTTTATGATTATTTAATGTTTGTTTAGTTTTTACAGCAATATACTTCATTTTCCATTTTCCAGTCTAGTAGTTTGGGTCGCAGAGGTTATAATTATAAAAATTTGAAGTTACAATGATAGCCTTATTTTTAGAATAAGGCTTTAAGGCCCATGTAGTCTCATATACTGGCATACTGTATACTCCTATTTTACTTAATAAAATGAGATACAAAATCTGTGGATCCTTCTACAAAAGATGATAAAGCACTCCACCATACCCAAATATGACATGAAATGAAAATTCTTAATTATTTGAGTCAAAAATCATTTTTCCTGGAATTGCCTGTATTTTTTTGTTTCCCTAATATATTTTATTTCTTCGTTCCTAAATATGTTCCCAAGGCAAATAGAATCTTGTAATTACAAAAATATTTAACTGCTTCTTCTCATGAAAGTTCTATTATGTTTTTATCTGACTACAGCGTCTTCTTTTGAAGACTGTTGTAGTCACCAACTGCTGATAATGACTTCAAATGAAGTAATAAGCTGCAGAAGATGGGTTGACTGTGACACAATGTGAAATACTTCCTTCTTTAAGAAGTTCTGAAAGCAAATGGATGAAGGAAAAATATTACTATTATTATTATTTCTTATTTTACCTTAAGTTCTGTGATACATCAGAACCTATATCTTACAAAGTTAGATACAAAATGGTTGAGATATATTTTAAATATATGTTAAAGCATTTCTGGATGGTTAATGCTGCCACGAAGAACTTACAAGATATTTGATGCTGGTTATTTTTTAGCCCTTACATCTTGATGAGAAAGTCAATGAAACAAGTGTTATCTTTTCCTATCTGCTTCTATTTTGTATACATAATTTTGTTAGGTAGGAGTACATAAAGATATACTGTGTATACCATTCCTAGTTTTATTGAGTTAAACGCCATATTTTAGTTTTGTTATGTGGAGGATTGTAAAAATATTGAACTCTTATTCATTATGCTTTAATAGTACCTTTAGTTTAGAGGCGTAATTGAACTTGACAAAAGTAGGGAACATCTAAAATGCCTATTTTTTTACATTAATTGACTTGTCTATACCCAGGGCCTTTCCAGGTGTCAATTCATATATCTTCTCTTTTTTATATATGATTTAGAGAACTTTACTGAATATTTGACAGTGGATGAAGAAGCACATGAATTTGTTGCAGAACTGAAGGAACCCGGGAAATATAAATTATCTGTGACAACCTTTAGCTCCTCAGGATCTTGTGAAACTCGAAAAAGTCAGTCAGCAAAATCACTCAGCTTTTATATCAGTAAGTAACAAAGAGATCATTTGACACTTACTGGGGAGGTAGAACAATGGAACTGGTGAGATTAATGATGCTCAGATGTCAATTATCACAAACCTTAGGGATGCTGAGAAGTCTCCAAGGTCAGCAAAGGCTGAGATTCACAAGTTTTGGATAGAAGAGGAAATATATGCATGTGCAATAGTAGCAATCCTATCCATGGGTTTAACTTGAGGATTTTTTTACTATTGTGATAATTGAACATTTATTAAACTGACCTTCCACATTAGCCATAACAAACTCTCCAAGGATGTGGACATACAGTTTGGAAAATGTGACATTTGTTTGAAGCCATAATGAAATGATATAATAGAACTGTGAAAAATCTCATTAGAGTATTAAGCCTGTGGGTCTCAAAAGAAAGACAAAGATTCAAGTGTGACTACACCCAGATAGTCTCCATAAAATTTGGTGGAAAAAGTCGTAGCTGGAGCATCCTGAAAGCCCCAGTGTCAAGTCCTAGGGCAGCCATAAGGGTAACAGCACAGCAAAAGCTAGGCCCTGACAGCTGCACAAACAGTGCCTGCCTCTTTAATATGTTTAGCTAAACTGATTAAGTTTACTGGAAGTATAGAGGTCAAAAATCAGTAACCTACCCTATCAGGAGTTATATGTGCCTCTGATCAGCAGAAAGAAAAACCAGAAGGCAAAGAATAAAAATTACCCTCAGAAAAGGATAACTACCACATATCCTACTGCCATCTGGAAAGGAAAAATGTCACCTTTCATTGAAGGATGGATGAGAGCAGAAGAGGGGCTCAGTTTATGTAGCAGCTTAAAAATGTTGAAAATGTCCCATATAATATTTTTACTTAAAAGAAAAACAAAAATGTCACCTCTGGCAAAAGAAAGGCCTGAAAGATTTATCAGATGCATAGAAAAGGTATTCCCAGTTGCCTTGTGTGTCCTTCAAGTGTGAGAGACCTTGGACATGTGATTACATAAGAAACAGAACAAAGTTGAGTATTTTGTTCTTCCCATAAGATTAAAAATGCCTCACTGACTAGACTCTTTCTTCACCAGTTACAGATTCATTGCAAGTATGAACAGCCTCCATGAAAACTCCCGCAACAATTCTGGTCTTTCTCACTTTTCTCTTCTCTGAATTCCTATTCTGTCTCATGGTACACAGCACAAAACATAGAACTTACTAGTCTGTGGTATTTTTCTAGATTTATTTTATGTACATCTTGCTTCTCATGTCAAATTATAAAATCGTAGGCTGGAGCTATACTGTTTGAGTATTTATTCATTCTCTTGTACATTCAAGAAATATTTATGACACCACTTGTGTCTTTTATGCACTCTGCTCTAAGAGTATCCAAAGTGACCAGTGCCATTGAGAATATGTTGGAATTGCTCAAAACTGTGATCACTTTAAAAAGATGCATCTTAATATTTATCTGGAAAAATACGGGCTCCCAGAAGTTGTGTTTTCTCTCTGTTGCTAAAAGAATGACTTTTTAAGTGCTTAGGATATTCTGTTCTGTGGTAATGAGCTATTCAGACGTACTGTGTATACTTCTGTGGTTTAAAAAATGGATACCACAGATATAAATACTTATACCTAATGGGGTAAGTAAGCAACAAATTCGGGTGGCTTGCTTTGGTTCATCATAATGTAGTCACAGACCAGCTAAAGTATATTTGCAGCCCATTTTTCCTGACCAATAGCCTTATGAAGGAAACATTTTTATTATCCCCATTTTTCACATTAAAAAAAACTGAATTGCAGACATTTCAGTGACTTTCCCAAGTATCAAAATTAAGATTAGAACTTGAGAATATTTGATAACAAAATCCATTTTCATGTAGACTTCAATGACCCATTTCCTTGGGTTGATTATCAAGTCAGTCATAAGGTAAAACTATTAAATAATTGAATTTGTCTTGCTTTCTCCATCTTTGCCTTCTGTGTCCCCATTACACCAGTAGTCTTCAGAACAGTAGTAACACTTCATGTTTATATAGTTCTCTAACACATATTACCTCATTTGATCCTAACAGCAACCTTATGAGGTAAATAATCATATTGTCACAAAGCACTGACTCAGGAGACAGGAGGTCTGGGTTGGGTTACAAGCACTTACTAGCTCTGTGAATTCAGGCAGCTCATTTATATCTGTGATGGGACTGTTTCCTCATCAGCAAATGCAGTAGTCCATTTTCACACTGCTATGAAGAACTACTTGAGATTGAGTAATTTATAAAGGAAAGAAGTTTCATTGACTCACAGTTCTGCATGGCCAGGGATGCCTCAGGAAACTTACAAACATGGCTGAAGGTGAAGGGGAAGCAAGCGCCTTCTTCACAGGGTGGCGGGACAGAGAGAGAGAGCAGGAGAAACTGCCACTTTTAAACCATCAGATCTCATGAGAACTCCCTCATTATCTTGAGAACAGCATGGGGGAAACCACCTGCATGATCCAATTACTTCTCATCAGGTCTGTCCCTCCAGAAGTGGGGATTACAATTCGAGATGAGATTTGGGTGGGGATACAGAGCCAAACCATATCAGCAAAATAAGGCAGTGGGTCTCTAAAGTTCTGTTAATACTAAAATTCCATGGTTTATCCATGTAACAGTTGCAATGACTCAGATTCAGAGAAGTTAACTCACTTGTCCAAAGTTGCACCACTAATAAGGACCAAACTGAGTTTTGGTGAAATTATTCCATCTCCAAATTTTCACTCTTTCATAGTGCTCAGGAAGTCTCATGCAGGGTTGAGAGCATGGATTTTGGAATGAGACTTCCTGTGTGTGAATCCTAGCTCTACTTATCCTATCTCTGCCTCAGTTTTCTCATCTGAAAAGTGAGATTTAATAGCAGTACGTATCTCATTGGCTTGTTGTAAAAGTTAAAGGGGCTGGGCACAGTGGCTCACATCTGTAACCCCAGAACTTTGGGAGACTGAGGCGGGTGGATCACCTGAGGTCAGGAGTTCAAGACTGGTCTGACCAATGTGGTGAAACCCTCTCTGTACTAAAAATACAAATATTACTCCAACGTGGTTGTGGGCACCTGTAATCCCAGCTACTTGGGAGGCTAAGGCAGGAGAATCACTTGAACTCAGGAGGCAGAGGTTGCAGTGAGTTGAGATTGCTCCACTGCACTCCAGCCTGGGCAACAGAGTGAGACTCCATCTCAAAATTAATTAATTAAAAGAATAAAATATGTAACACCTATAAACTTAAAGCAGTTTATATGTTGGAAAGGAGTTATATGTGAGTACCCATGTTTTAAGCTCAACCACCACTGTGATGTCCTGGACGTCTTCCCAAGAGAACTAAAGTAGCAGCCCGTGTCTGCATTGTCACTGACCTGCCAGGAACAAATATATAAATATGTAATGAGTTCTATATCTCTTTACTGTAATTAATACCATTGCTTGTCATCATTCCCCTGCACCATTTATACCAAATCTTAATCTGTCCTTCCCAGTAGAGCCACTTGCTTCTTTTCCTCTCCCCAGTTTCAGCCTAGGAATACAGCATTAAATTAAGGAGCTGAGAAAGGCATCCTAAGCAAATAAATGGAAGTTTCACATTTGAATTTCAGCAGGGAATTTCTGTAGCTAATAATCACCTTAACATGTCTTAAGTCCTTAATAGGTGTCCGGCACTGTGTTAAGAACCAATTTAGGCACATAAGAGAACAAAGCTAAGGCTGGGCATCTCCCTGGAGATATTTTATGGTAAGGACCCTGTTGTGTCCCTCAAATGATCACCCAGTTTTAGCCAGCTTTTTTAATGCAGCCAGCCTGTTGAGTGTTTCTTCTCCACTATAGTCACAGCCTGCCTTTTTGTTCTCACTGCTGCCAAATTCAAATGTTTTCACAGGATAGTAAGTCGAGGCTGATTTGAATCTCAAAGTAATTATTTCTAGAGACCAAAGTTCCTAGTAGCAAAGGAATTATAAACCCTGATGAAATGCCACACTGCCGTGATCACTCTTTGTTTAAAAGAAGCAAATTTTCTCTGGTGAAGAATTTACCAGGAAACTCTCACATTGAAGTGGCGCTTCCATTTCTGCTGTTATTGCTGAGGCTGCTGTTTAAATCAAGGTGAGGTCAAGGAGTAGAGGATTGCAGATGGGCAGAGGACCTGAAGAGTTGCCAGTCTGACCACGAATCTTACACTGAATCTCTTTGTAAAGGCAAAAAGTAAACAACATGATTTTTAAACCAGGATCTTTTATCTCAATCAGTGCAGTGTGCAGCCTCCCCTGTGTTCCAATTTGAAATGTGCAGGTCCTTCAGGAGAGTGGATCGAAGAACTGACTGAGAAGCCCCAGCATGTGAGTGTCCACGTTTTAAGCTCAACCACTGCCTTGATGTCCTGGACATCTTCCCAAGAAAACTACAACAGCACCATTGTGTCTGTGGTGTCGCTGACCTGCCAGAAACAAAAGGAGAGCCAGAGGCTTGAAAAGCAGTACTGCACTCAGGTAAAGGAGAGGAAATGAAGATGGGCTCACCGGTCCCACCTAAGAATAGTCCTACAGGGCAATGCCAAGGAGGCACTACAGGAAGCCAGGCTGAGAGTTCCTAGGATGGGTGTGTTGTATGAGTGCTACCAAGAGCCAGAGGGGACAGAAACGAGTAGGAATGGCTTTTCGATTGTACTATAATCTCCCTTGCTCTTCATAGGAGGGTCGTGTTCTTTTCTCTTTCATTTCTCATTCAAGGGAATTTGCTAAGCACCTATGATGTGCCAGGTACTAAGATAGATGTTAGAAAATTTTAAACATCCTGCTCTTGCAAAGCTGATAATCTAGCGAGAATAGTAGATAAGTGAACGTATAATGACTGCACTGTATAGAATAAGGGCTCGGCTTAATATGAATGATGAGAGTCCAGAGGAGTTCACAGGAAGAAGAGCTGAGCATGAGCAACATGGATGAAGGGGAAAGGGGACTTGGAAACTGGTTGGAAAGAAACATCCCAGGGAAGGAGACAACCAAGCAGAGGGTTGGAGGGTTTTGTGTTGGTCTGTTTTACTTTTTTTGCATTTTTAAAATTTTCATTTTGACTATAAAAGTAATGCATTCTTGCTGAAAAAAAAACTCAAAAATACAAAGAATATAAAGTAAAAACTACCCCCTCATGAGTCACAACTGAGAAGAGCTTTGAGGAATATATGAGTCAGCTGTGCACAGAGGAGAGTGAGGGGCAGGCAGAGGCAGCGTGCAACTCAGTAGTACTGTGAGTGGCTAGCAGAAGGAATGCATACACCAGATCGACCCCCAGTGATACCGTGCAACTTAAGCCCAGAGGGGACCTTGCTTTCAGATGCCCTGAGAACCTGGGGCCCAGTCCTATTTTTCTAAAATCTGGCCTTGTGTTTTTAAAAGGTCAGATTTGGTGGTTCTTGGTGTCTTACAAATACATTTTCTTCCCTAAAGGCAAAAATTAATTATCAATTCACGTGGAGTATGTTGGATATGTAATGCACAGAAAAGATGTTTGCTATATGAGAGCTATTTGGGATGTTTCCATTCCTCCCAGGAAAATTAATCATTTAATGAAATTCAAACAATGAGAAATTGCAAATTGATAAGATGAATTTAGGAATCGTGTTGTTTGGAGCACTAGAAAGCCATAGAATGCTGAGATAAGCCTTTACTTGAGAATGAGGAGCCCCTAGAGTTGAATTAAATGAAGGAATAAATATGCTAAATGGATTAACTAGTAATCACAGTTCATTGTATAACTTATTAGCTTCCTTTATTGAGCATACCCAAAATGACTGACTCATTACATTGACAGAAAAACATGTTTTCCCCTACAGACCTTGACCTAGAACTCAAGTGCTCCTAGGTACCTTTCTCCCCTTGCCCTACCTAATGTACACATTACATATCTTTCACATAAGGAGACAAAGGCTAAGGGTAGAGGTAGATATTGTAAATTATCAATGAGCCAGAAAAGACTAGTCCAAATGTATGTTTACAGTATCTTCTCAAAATGCAAATAGGAAAACAGAACATGAAATGTCCTATTCAGGATAAGCAAGAAGACTAATATTTAAAGAGGAGTGCAGGAATGAGACCACCATGCTAGACATCATCTCAGTTACCACAAGAACTTTCTGAGATTTGTATTAATATCATACCACCATAGTCCATTATGCCACTACACACACACACACACACACACACACACACACACACAAACATATCCATTGCCCCACCACACACATACATGCACACACTTTTCAGATGAGGATGTGTAAGTTCAAAAAGTCTCAAGAACCAGAGTAGAATCATGTGGCCATTAATCAAAGAAACCTATCAGATGTTCTCAACAGGATGGATCTAACTTGGGCTTTGGGCTTATTTCCTAAAGAAACCACTAAACAGAACAAAATATAGTATTTCTTAAGTTCTATTCATATATTCAATGGTACCATGATTACATTAAATAGAAAGTTCAAAATGTGGCTCCTGTTAAAGACAAAACTAATTAATCGTACTTGTTAATGCATGGTAAGGAAGACTTTATTCAGGACCATTGTGTTAAGTGTAGGGACATCTGCAATGGGGTCTTGCAGTGGTGGTGAGATATTGGGCTCAACTCCAAATACAGCCATGAGCAAGCAGCAATTTATAGCCAAGAAGCAGTGTAGGGGAATCAGCAGATGGAAAACTACTTAGAGGAAACAGCAGGGGTAAGGGGGGGTTCTAGCCAAATCTGCCTAACAGGATTCTGTTACACCTTGCTGAAGACAGGCCAAGGTGATCAGACATCATCTGGGAGATGATGGGGGATGAGGAACCTGATGGGATATTGAGGGTAATCAGATATCAAGGATGGGAGTTCTGGCTAAACAGACTCAGCAGCAATGCAATGTTCTTTGCTAAAACTGGATTTTACAAGGAAGTGCACAGATGGGCTCAGAAGCTTCAGGAGGCTAACTAAAATTTGTCTAAGCAAAGAATTTTTGTCACTCTAAAATAAACACTCTAAAGCCAAGCACTTATTAATAGCTAATCGTAAAGTTTTGCTATTTCATAACCTCACTCTCTCTTCTTTGCCTCTACCACTAACTGTACCACAGGACCATTGTTTAATATATTACCTTGGTGATCTGTGAGATGCGCTGCTAGTGCTACTACTCTGTCCCATGACTCCACTGATTTCTGTGTGATTATGTGCAAGGTGGGTCCTATGGATCCTGTGTGAGGTGCTAGAGATAAGGGTAAATTAGATTTGCACCCTGATTTTATGAAGTTTAGAGTTTGTACCTTCCATATGGTACATTGTACACATTCATTTGAATTTGCCCTCATTGTGTGTGTGTGTGTGTGTGTGTATGTGTATCTTTGGGTTGCTTCATGCATGAGTTTGTATGGAAATGTTCTTGGTAGTTTTGTGATGTATCCTTTCTAACAATCACTGTAGTGCTATTTATTAATAAACACTTGGACACAAAATCATTCTTCAATCTGTGTTACATAAAGAACTCAGATAATTTTGCAAAGTAAATAGGCTCTCAGTGGTCTGTTCAGAGGCTCACGCACAATCATAAATTTCAGAATCAGGAAGCCTCATATAATATATATGTGTATTTATTTTTATATGTGATCTGCTTTTGTCCATGAATGCTTTCTGACAACTTATAGAAATGTATAATAACTAAATAATAAAATTGAACAGAAAGACAAATCAATCTTTTAGGCTCACGAATGAGGAAATGGTAACATTGAGGCCAAACATTTAAGGAACTTTCCCAAAGTCACACAACTGGTTAGTGTTAGAACAGAGACCAAGATGAAAATGATCTGACCTCCCAACCAATACTGTTTCTATTGGCTTGCATGTGCTATTTAAGGAGAGGGTCAGCTTCACTGTGTATCATGAGGGAGTCCACAGCACAGACTCCAGAGTCAGACAGACTTGGGTTTCAGACCCGATTTCAACAGTTTCCAGCTATGAGACCCTGATCAATCTTCTTCATCTCTGTAAGTTTTAGTATCTTCATCTATAACATAGGGAGAAGCATATCCTACCTTACAGGTTGTAATAAAGATTAAAAAGACTTGATGCTTAATGCAGTGTCTGGAACACAGACAAACACACACACACACACACACACACACACACACACACACACACTGTCTATCATATTCTTACTTTGACTAGCTATGATCTCTACCACATTTTTCTCCTTATTCCTTTAGCTGAGGGAGACTAGAACTGGTATCCAGTTGGAGAGACATTGGACTCAACTAGATTCTCAGGAATGAAGATTAAGACAGTCAGAAAAAATACTGGGATGCTAAATATGTGGAAATTAAGGAGGAGTGAGTGTGAAATTATTTCGTAAAAAATAAAACACATTATTTAGTATGCAGAATGCAGGGACATTTCCCTTTTCTTCCTCTACCGGACACCCAAGGAGGTCCAGACTAAATAAAAAGGCATAGAGAAACATAGAAGTGTAAATATAGGTTAGCAGCTCAGTAAATATTCAGAAATTAAGGAGGACGAGAATTAGTATTTATAATTTATCACCAAGTCAGGTAATCTGTAATACAGTTACCCTCTTGTCATTTTTTAAGTAATATGATATATATACTCATAGCTATGCCCATAGCTGCTTATTTGTTAAAGTATAATATCCATAGGATAAATTTATTATAAGGGATTTTTTTTTTTGAGATGGAGTCTTGCTGTGTCACCAGGCTGGAGTGCAGTGGCACAATCTCAGCTCACTGCAACCTCCGCCTCCCAGGTTCAAACGATTCTCCTGCCTCAAGCTCCCGAGTAGCTGGGACTACAGGTGTGTGCCACCACATCCAGCTAATGTTTGTAATTTTAGTAGAGATGGGGTTTCACCATGTTGGCCAGGATTGTCTCGATCTCTTGACCTCGTGATCCACCCGCCTTGGCCTCCCAAGTGCCGGGATTACAGGCGTGAGCCCCCGTGCCCGGCTATAATGGCATATTTAAATAGCTATGATTTTAGGTAGTCATTTGAATAGTTAGAATCAACAGTTACTTAAAATACTATCAAAAGAAAGGAGCCTTAATGTCACCCTGAAACAATCTATATTCCTCATGTCCTTTATTATTTTAAACATTCTAAATAAGCAAGATGGGTAATTAATGAGTAGGTCAGCATTTATATTTATGGTCAGATGTCTACAATGTGTTAAGTTTAAACGGAGCAATTTCTTGGGGGGTGGTGGTTTTGAGACGGGGTCTCGCTCTGTCACCCAGGCTCTAGTGCAGCGGCGTGATCCTGGCTCATTGCAACCTCCACCTCCCAGGTTCAAGCCATTCTCCTGTCTCCTCCTCTCGAGTAGCTGGGACTACAGAAGTGAGCCATCACACCCAGCTAATTTTTGTATTTTTAGTAGAGACAGGGCTTCACCATGTTCGCCAGGCTTGTCTCGAACTCCCGACCTCAAGCGATCTGCCTCCCAAAGTGCTGAGATTATAGGCATGAACCACTGTGCCCAGCCTGGAGCAATGTTGATAATATATTATGTGGTTCAATAGCATCTTATTTACGTATATATGTTATAAGTTGGTCTAGAAGAATCCATATCAAAATGTCAGGATTTGTGGGAAGAGAACAAACAAGATGTCCAATTTACTTCATTTGTTTTCTTATTGAGTGAACAACTTTTACAATGAGCATATATGTTTTATCATGTAAAGTGTATTTTAAATAAATAAAATAATAATGCTTAGTTGTAGATAATATGCATCTTCTTATCATAGTTTGTCTCTTCAGAAAATTCTCTATCAGGCCAGGCACAGTGGTTCATGCCTGTAATCCCAGCAAGTTGGGAGGCCGAGGCAGGACAGTCACTTGAGGACAGGAGTTTGAGACCAGCCTGGCCAACACAATGAAACCCTGTCTCT